AACTATATACAGTATTTTCTTGTTTACATGAATATGGTCTTTTTATTTGTCCTGATGTTTATAATAATAAATAATATAACAATAAATAATAATATAATAACTTTTTTTTTTGTCTTATAATGTCACCTCCACTGAACGTAAAGGTTTCCCAAAAGGCCTCAAAAAGGCCCATGGACCACCAGTTGATAGTCACAGTTGTGGCTTGTTTTGCGGCTCCGGACACATTTTATTAGTGAGACAAGGAGCACAAATGGCTCTGTTGATCATAAAGGTTGCAGACATCTGCACTAGCCCTAAAACTCTAACTCACATATTTAGGACCCCTAATTCTAAAGCACTAAAATAACCCAGCCAACCCAAGAACGTTCGTCAACAGACAACACGAGTCACATATTACCATGTTGCTCTCTTAATACTTATTGTTGACATTCCACAGCCGTATTTGGTTGCATTTATGGTCAATATATTGCCACCTAGTGGCTAAGTGACACACATATGAACAAAATGTGCCACAGCTTGTACKGTCAGCTGTTAATATTAACGTTGATCAACAGCATTTATAGACCTCAGTTAGTGCTTTTAAATTTAGAAAGTGCTAATCCACTAATAATTTTTAAATTAGCAAAGCACTAATCAGGAAATTAGTTCCCCTATTAATGCTTTAGTGCTTTAGGGGAACTGTGCCCACCACTGGCTGCCACAAACGATTATTTTTATAGTCGACTATAAAAAAATATACAAAGTTAGAAAAAAAATGAGACGACTATTAAATTAGTCACTGACAATTTTAGTAGTTGACATAATCGCGACTAGTAGACTAATCGTGGCAGCCCTAGTYAAGTTTATAGGAGCGCACTCACGTGTCCCATGTCCTCCCCTCCCAGGTCTCCTCCTCGACCCCGCCCACGTCCCGTCACCCAAGGTTTGCCCTTGAGCTTCTTCATCTTGTTGAGCATCCCACGTCCTCTTCCTGGTCCGCTCCCTCTGCCCCTTCCTCTCATCCCAACTAATAATGATAATAAAAAGAGCACATTTCTAACTTTTTTAATGCAGTCCATCATAATAAACCAAAAAGTGTTGGAATTTAAAAGTCAGTCATACACTGCTGGTGCTTCATCCCCCTCATGCCTCCTCGGCTCATCTGGTCTTTCGAGTGGCGCCCTTTCCCCTGACTTGAGTCTTTCGAGTGTTGATACTCAGACATGTCCTCGTAATCGTCCTCCTCCTCCTCGTAGTCGTACTTGTCGCTGTAGTCGTCGCTGTAGTCGTCGCTGTATTTGTCGAAGTCGCTGCTCTTTTGCGGCGATGACTTTCTGAAGCTGCCGTGAACTTTTTTGGAGTGCTGCGAATCAAACAGATCGAGAGGATGTCGTCTCGCAAAAGGGATTACGTTTTTTTTTTTTTTTTTATGAATAAAGAAGCGAAGGAAAACCTCACCTGAGAGGACTGGAGGTCAGACTCACGACCGTACCCCTGACTCTTCCTGTTCTGGGGCCGGTCGGGGCGGTCGTAGTCCGAGTCGTAACTGTCGGAACTGGAGGTGCTGGAGGGGGAATGATGCTGAGAGGAGCAAAAAGAAGAAACCTCACAGATATAGTTTGAATTAACATTAGATGTGTTTGGATTTTAAAGGGATCCATGATTAGTTGTAACTTTAGACTTTATTTGATAAACATTTATTT